TTGGTCTTGCTTCAAACACAAACTGTAAACACATGCATCGTATTATAAGGCATATGGATAAGGAAGGGTTTCCTGTACGATTCGGGACCAAGAGGGCGTGCAAAACAGACGGCCCTTCGCCATTCTGCAAGCTACCCGAACAAAACCCCTTAAGCAACCGGACATACAACCGGAGACTACGAAACCCATCAGGATCCAAGGATGAGTCGGCACTGTACCTGTGGGATCAGAAAGGATATGCACGTCTCAAGCAGATCTCCGCGAAACTCGTGCACGCCTCACAAACTAAGACCCCCAAGCCACACCCGAAGGAAAAAGACGAACCAAATTCAGAAAAACACGCCTAGAACGCTTTATCTCAATCCACCTCAGGCGGAGAGGGCAGGAGAATCCACCAAAACACCCCGCAACTCGACGAGCGTAAGCAACCTGCCCCCACCAGACACGAGCATCATGAGCATCAGCCGGTCCTGGGCCCCCGCAACTCGACGAGCGTAAGCAACCTGCCCCCACCAGACACGAGCATCATGAGCATCAGCCGGTCCTGGGCTGGAGAGAAGAGGGGAGGACTCCATCTTCATGCATGCGCTGGAGGCGAAAACCCTCATCCGTGTAAAAGATGTGCTGTTGGGCATCCGACAACTGCTCAAGTGGTACTTCAATGCCATTCCTGATTAGAAATGCTGCAGCAGAAGCGATTGCATGATTTATTTCTTCATCCGCCTCCTCGATCTCGCTGTCAGTCGCAAGCGGAGGGAATCTCGGGGGTCTTATGACAACAAGGTCATCTACATACCTAACTACGGCTTCGGAGGAACTCGGAACCTCATTAGCACCTGTAGGCCACGGTGCCAGTACCGGCATATCAGGGTAGAGACCTGCCTCACGCATCTCTTCATACTGTCGATAAAGCTGCTCGGGTCGAGGGACTACCCTTGCTCCATGCCTGTTGATCTGGTCACGGTGGGGATACGTCGGGTCATACCTAGCCCTATACTCCGCAGCGGGAACAATCCCAACCCCTTCAACCCAGTGCGGAGGAGTACCAGAGGACGAACTGGAGTCTGACCTAGTTGCCATATACAGCTCGAAATCTCGCCTGGCTCCACGGTCGTAATAATCAGCAGACCGCCCGGACTGTATCGAAGAAGATTCTGCATCACTGCGCGGGGATTGGGGTTCAGGCTCGTAGGGAAGGACATCGGGAGCAACTGCTACAGGATGATTGCGCGGAGTCTCTGGTGGAAGTTCGAGTGCTGCAGTGCCTTGCATATCAATAATGAGACTACTTCTTAACACCCGTTCGATAAAGTTTTCCCAGGCATTGGGATCCCCAAGATCAAAAGTATTAGGAATCTCAATCCGGTTGGTTTCTCTTCGCACCGGGGGAGGTTCAACCGTAGGATTGCGCTGCTCTGGTGCTCCAGGCAGGAAGGCCCATGGAGAAAACTGCATATCTGGGCCTACCCCGGTGCTAACTCGCCTTGGTCTAGCCCCCCTGCCACGGCAGCGCAGTCCATCGTCGTAGTCAGCGATGACTATAGGCTGCGGGATTTGCTCGGAGAGCGGAATGGGTTCAAGCTCCGGCTGTTCAAGGCCATCCGCGACTGGCTCTGCACGCCGTATGCTAAAGAACCTTCCAATGGCCCCAACCAGAAGACTCCCAAAAACCACAACGATACCCAAAACTATCAAAACCCACCTGCTACTCCAGTCATACTGCTTTGATCCTTCGACTCCTCCCTTTCCTTGGGCCTGAACAGGCAGCGAACCGACCACAATCAATGCCAATGCTTGCTTCAACAGGTTTAGCCTCGCAGCGGAAACCCTCATGCTTGGTACCTCGTATCCACACAATAGCAGCAACTCTTTAACCCGAGCTCCAGGTAGCACTTTAGTAGCAATGTCTGCCAGCATGTGTTCCCCCTTTAAATGTGACAAATGCCACTTTCCAGACTGGAGCCTCTCCCGAAATGCTTGAGAACGGACTCTCAAGTGGCGTGTTCGCCAGTTGCCACTCTCAAAGGAAGCAATTGATATCGAGGCAAGGTTGTCACAGAACGCCTGACACGCTGGAAACCTCGGAATCCCTGGGTGAAGCTCATGCACCAACCCTTCCAGGGATTCAGTCAAAGCTACCCCCTCTAGAACTCCAAGCAGCTCGGCTTCTGCTGTGGAGAGAGCCGTAAACGGCTGCTTGCCTGCAGACCAGAAGACTAAGTTGCGACCGACTTGTACAAGGCCGGCTTCGAAGCTTCTGTCTCCAGCTGGAGCGAAGCTGGCATCGGTGAAAGATTCAAGCAGGTAAGGAAGGGCCGTGACACGACGCTCATTATGCACACCATGGGGAGGCTGGTCATCGGTGCACTGGTACTTCAGAGCGATCCTTTTAGTGCCCTTAAGATAGCAGAGGATGTGTAGACCGAGCTTAAACGCAAGCTCCGGGCACCGACTCACCAATGATGTTACCCTCGCAACTCCATAGACAATGTCAACCCTGGTCTTCCCTGACACCCACAAAAGTTCACCTGCAAGTGCCTGGGCCTTCCTCAAAGCAACTGGGGAAGAAGATTCCGGCTCCTCTGGGTCTTGAACCTTTGGAAAAGGACACGAAGTCTCCACAAGTGGAGCCCCAAGACTCTCCTCATAGCGCTTAACAACATCCTCTATGTATGATGCCTGGTGGATTAAGAGCGCTCGGCCTTGCCTCTCTATCTCAACACCACAGAAGCGCACAGGGCTCTTAGGGCTTAGCTGGTCCGGCTCAGAGCATTGCCAGATGCTGCGGATTTCGGCCAGGATTGCGGACGCATACTTTGTCACCCCTCCAACCATTAAGTCGTCGACATAGACGACCAGAAGGCCGACAATGCCTTCCGACTCTGCCACGAGCAGCCAGGCATTTGGCTCGGAAACTAGCTGTCTCAAGCATATGACCGTGTCCCCAACCTTAACTCTAACTGTCTTAAGGGTGCGGTCCCTAAGGCTTGCCCAACATCTGGGCGACCGATCCAAGCCATACAATGCACCTTCAACTAACCACCGCTCCCATTTACTTACTACACCGGCAAGCTGAAAGATGCGGGGCGGATCCAGTACGATAAGCTCCTCGGTCTTTGCTTCAGCCAGATTGCTTTCCACACCGTCAGACAACTTTGCGTTTAAAAAGGCTGTTTTGACATCTGTCACCCAGACCTCCCAATCAGGGTGCTGGGAAATGAACGCCAGTGACACTCGTAGGGCACTTGCATCGATTCCTCCTGCATACGTGAGCAGGCGATGTTCATACGCAGAGTCGCCAGCTGCAGGACCATGGTTGCCGCAGGCAACACATCTAGCCTTCCTCAAGCCTGTCACCGCTTTGCGAGTAAAGACTCCCTTTGAGGGCAAACGCAGCACAACGCGTCCTTGAGCAATCCACTCAGCAATTTGTTGTTCAGAAATCGGCCTCAGCACTCCTTTCACTCGGAGGCTGTCATATTCTGCACTAATCGCTGGCCTCCACAACGCAAGCTCGCGTTTGACCTGGTCGAGGCTCACAGTTTTCGTTTGCAACGGCGGTGGCTCATGATCCGGTACAAGGGCGTCAGATGCAGAGGAGGACTCCCCCAGTCCTCTGAGATAAACCTCTCTGGCTACTGAGGGGTTCTTGGACTCCCCCGGATCCGACAACACCTGATAATACGCAAGAAGATTTTCTATGCCCTCAGAGCGCACACCGAAGATTTCACTGACGGGACTACATGAGCTACTAACCGCCTGCATGCTACGAAGGTTAACCCGAGCCCTATTAAGCTCTTCTAACCCCTGCCCAACACAGGTCTCCACCGGACCGTCTACCAGCACCAAAGACCCAAGGGGGTCATCAAGATTAGTCTCATTATCGTGGCAACAGTTTAAGCTCCGAGCCTCAACCTGAAGGAAGGACACTTTCTCAGCAGCCTCAAACCACAACTCCGACTCAACCTTGCCGACACTATCCAAACCAGAAGCCTCTTCGCTAAAGTCAGACACTGCATCAACCTCGTCAACAGAGACCGAGAGTCCAGCACCGGAGGAAGGCTCTTGAGCTGAAGTATGCGGGCCAATCAAAGCGTTCAGCGAAAATTTACTGTGGGCTCCCCCCCCTGCGTCAAACGCAGGGCAGCAAGAGGGCAACGGAAAGTCCGCAGAAGCTAGCTCCGTGACGACCGAAGAAGAGGCCCGCACACATCGGTTGAGAGTGAATGCAACCAGGAGGTACTTCTGGCCTGACCACGAGTCCCCGGCATGAAATCGGTGCGGGGGAAAGGAGAACGATGCACCTACCGTATCCCACATCATTCCAGGCAGCCACCTGCGCGGCGCAACCTCGCGAAAATGCAAAGCACCCGGAGCCGCAGAGCGGGCAACCTCCGAACCTACCTCGATCCAAAGCCCGCCACGCAAATGCTCGGCACCGCCAACAACATAATTCAAGCTATCCGGGTCGTTGAAATAGTCTCGGTGGACCGGAGAGCTACAATTCACCGACACCACAAAGGAAGTAAATGTAGCTTGTGGGTGATGATGTCGCAATACAGCGAGGAGGTAACGCTGAGTATGCGGGAACTGACGACTGGCCGTTGTAACGCCTAGGACTCCCCCATGCGCAAACATCCCAAAGCTGCGATACCGAGCCCCAGAACCCAGGGCCGACACAGAACCCCTTCGGATTGGCTTATGTGGCAGAAGGCGCAACACCTGAGTCCACGATGCACTGTCATATAATCCGCGATGCAGCAAATCTTTCGAGAGGGCCTCAAGAGAGGCAACCAGAGCTCGCACCGCATGCGGAGGGTCAAGGCACAAGGGGTCGGGAGTTTTACGACGCAGCCGAGACGATGGACCAGATGGCATGGAATGGGCGGGAGTTTTGCTTGATTCCTCTGTCACCGGCATCCCTTTTCGCACTTCGCTAGGCGGAACAACCGAGACCTCCCCGGAGGCTTCAAAGACTGGTTCCTTAGCCCTTACTCCTTGAATCAACGCGGTGGTTTCGAAGTAACCCCGGATACCATCATCAGCAGGGTGGCTTGGCTGAAGATGCACTACATAACCACCCGGTGCGGATTCAGAGGGAGACATGACGCGAGCCTCGATGCACCTCGGTGCCCAAAGGTGAAGAGTCCATTCCTTCTTTCGAACCCAGACCTTGGTATAAAAGGGGATCGGTTCGCGTTGTGGGAAACCCAAGCTGGTAAAGACCTGCGACCTCATACTGAAGACAGCATGCCGCATAGCAAAGGCCCAATCAGCATCATCTGCGGATGCCGCTGCAAGCAGCACTCGGGTGAGTCCCTTTGCACGTCCTATGTGAGCCTCAGTGCGCCCATTAGCTTTAAAGTCCGAGCCAACGGTTGTTGTCCGACGGATCTGATGATCAGCTAGAAGCTGGCGCCAGAGCACGTTTGTGAACTCTGCTCCTTTGTCAGTATGGACTCTACGTACAGGGAGCCCCCAATAAGCAAGGTCGGCAAGGACTTCTTTTAAGGCGTTGGTAACGGTCTTGGCTTTCTTATCTGGCAGCGGTATCATGTACGGCACCTCGAGCATACGCACCTCCTTCAAAGGAACTTCACCGGTTGCCGCACCATCATCATCATCATCCTCGCCCTTCTCAGACATAGCGTCACCATCACCTACTCTCTTAGGAAGTTCATCTTCCACGAAACCCTCTTCAGGAACCTCCCACGCACCAGGGACATCATGAGCATCCGGAGGAGAAGACTTCATCGCGCTAACGCTCAACTCGGCACCATCATTTCCGAGTGGCCCAACCTGCGAATTGGAAGCATCTTGCTGTTCACCCTCCCCTGGGTCTGACGGCTCGTAATCATACTCCTGCTTAAGGATATCTGACACTAGCACCGGAACGGTGAGCACTGCGTGCAGGCAGTATCTAACCTTCTTTAGCTTTTCATGGTTTCCATTGGCATACGGGCCTGAAAGATCGCAGCCTAGCACAAATGAGTCAGGGATCTTAATTCTACGGTGAGGTCTAGACATCAATCTACCTCTCAAACAGGTCGCACAGTCGCGTCTGAATGGCAAGTGACCGTTCGCGACATGACGCGCGAAGGACGCATCACCCTTCCCTTTAGGAGCAGATGGTTTCTCAGGTTTGTGTGCAAGCTTAGCCACTTTTAGACATACCGCCCGACCTACTCCATCATACTCTCGGCACTGGTGTTGATGATACATGAGCGACTTCACCACTCCATGACGAACGTTCTGGAAGGGAGACGCCTGAAGCAACGCCTGGACCTGCGGATCATTATCGCTTTCGCACAGAAACAAAGGAGGCACTTTAAATCCAGCTCTCTCTCGTCCACGATCAGCCTGGCCGCACAGGTGCAGCAATCGCAACAGGACCAACGCATCCATTGAAGGCTTGGCGTCCGGCGACTGGCCTCCATAACAAATGACCGGGAAAAGACGAGGAAGGTCTGTGCAAACAACCTGCCTAATCAGACCTAGCTGTGCCAGCTCAAACAGGAACGCTGGGATTCCAGTATCCCTCACCTCATGATGGCTCAACCGGATAACACTCCACCCAGACGGGACAGTTCCTATGTAGGCTTTCGGATCCCCCACAACCACAACTATCCCTTCAGACCGGCTCAACGTGCGACGACAACGACGGTTGAAGCGTGGCTTGTCGCCAACTGCCTCGACTCGGGTTTCATCCAGCACTTTAACAAGAATTCGTCCATCCTGGGGCCCAAGCAACTCACTAAGCCAAGTCCAACGCATAGGGTGGGGGGCATCACCTGCTAAGAGCGCGGTGGCCATCGTAGTAACCGGGACCTCCAGCGGGCCTGAAAGGCGGTTCACATTTGGCTTGCTGACCCCGGCGGCACCCTCGATTTTCTCAATCATCATCAGTGCCAATTCCTTGCTTACTTCGGGGCATCCTCCCACGAGCGTGACGCAAACAGGGCTTCCGCTAGGATCTCTCAAGGTAAAACCCCTTTTTGACCACTTCACATGAAAGCCCAAACCTATCAACTGATGAAGCGCAACTATTGGAGCGATCTGCACATTGGACAACTCGGACGGTTCAGCAAGGAGAATTCCGGAAGGCGCAATGCGGAGACTGTCTGTCTCACCCGATGCTAAATGAACTGTCACAGGAGACGCGGCTTGCCACTCTGACGAATCAACGGCCTGGCGCAGGGAAGTCGTCGCGCCACCATCAAGTAGGCCTCCGAGTGCATCCTCAGGCTTAGAGAGCTTGGCTACATAGTGGAGTTTGGAAATGCGAAGGGACTTGATGGCAGCGATAGCCTCGGACAACATCTCATTGGTTTGAGGGTTTGACTCACCTTGGCCCGTCGGTTTGGCTTCAGCAGGCTCATCCCCTTGAGCGTCAGTTCCAATCTTGCGCACCCTTCGCCTCGGAGCCCTTTTTGGATCAGCCTTCGCGGCGGCATCTGCACCTGGCTTTTGGTCGGTGCTGCCCGCGGCAGTGGATGGTCCTCTTCCCAATACGGGGCACGCATTCCTCCAGTGCTCACTGGAAGAGCACTCAAAGCACCTACCACTACCATCCTCCACAACAGTAAGATCGTGATGATACTGGCATGCCCGTCCGGCATTGCAACCCTTTGCAGAACCCCAAAACTGACAAACTCGGCGGTTGCCCTCAGATGAAGCATCGGCAAGTTTACCTTTGGATCCCTTTCCAGAATCCTTTCCTCCTTGCTTACCCCCGCCTTTACCCTTCCTAGGCTCAGGCTTGTCATCCTTACCTTCCTGCTCTTCCGTTTTCACCTTCCTCACTCGCTGCCTTTTCTCCTTATCCTCATGGCCTGCCGCCTGGGCGCTCACCGCGAGCCATTCCATTTCAGCATGAACCTGCTTCCTGAACTTCTCAACCTTCTCATGTGTTGGGACGTGGTCCAACGAAAGCTCAAGCTTCAGCACACTAAGCCTAAAAGCTACCTCTCTATAGGTATTGGAACTCACTATCCCCGCAACTATGCTCTCTACGGCTCGAAGAAGCAGTGAAGGATCAGGGAGGGACACTTGCAGCTGTTCTGCTCGAGATCGCCAACGTGAATATTTGCGCAGCTTCTCCAAGGCCTCCGTTGGACCTTGAGCCGTGCCAGGCTGGGTCAAGAAGTTGAGTAAGGTTGCCCTTTCAGCAGTTCCACCAGGCTGCCCTGCAACCATAACCCTAAAGAGGACATTGACAGAGTTTAAAACCCTAGAGGCTAAGATATCTTGCTTCAGGTTGTCCGGGAGGGATGCCAACAGCATAGAGGTAACTCGTTGCTCTAGTCTGGTATACTGGGGTTGGGAAAGTTCAGCCCCCAGCTTCACCTCAATCTGGGCGCGCTGCAAAGGCGTAGCGTTGAGCCACTGTACATACAACGTTTCTGCTCTAACCTTGACCTTAGACCACCAAAGACCTGCTCCCGTGCTAATATCCCCTATGATCGGCCCTATCAGCGTGACCCAATCCCCGACCAAGATCGGCGCTTCATCAGTCTTTAGCTCCGAAAGATGCGGCAGATCATGCCACCGTTGCCACTGTGGTGAGTAGCGCAACTCCTCTCGGCGGGGCCCTGCGGCAGGTGGGGATAACGGTGGAGGCACAGGAGGAACTGGAGTTCCACCTGGCGTGCGGTCTACCCTAAACCCTATGTTCCTATGAACCTCAGGGGCAGGACCTAACCCAATTAGGGGTGGGGGCGGCACAGGAATTAAAGATTGGTCAGCAGGCAAAGGCTCATGATGCTGATACGCTGTCGCAGCTCCTGGAACCGACAGCTCAACAGGACGCACAGGAATGGACAGCTGGACAGGTGCGGTAGACACTTCTGGAGCCGGAGGCTCAACAGGAAAAGGCATAGGAATTTGTTGGCACGTCGAAGCAAAACCCGAACTACTAGTATAACCCGGGGCCCCTATACCCACAAACTCAACTAAACCTTGAGGAAACCCACTACAGTCATCAGGGATCTGGGGCGGAGTAAAGAAACCTGATCCTGATGGCACATTGTCTGGCAGACTTGGTGGCACGGGCTGCCACTGCGGCGCTGGGCAAGTCCAAGCAGGCCCTTCAACCGGCGGCATAGGCCCCCAAGTCCAGGAAGGCCCCTGAGGATGCAAGGGAGAGGGCATTGCTTGAGGCTGGAGAGGTGGAGGAGGCGGTTGGGCAAGCACACCAGGAAGTAAAGTCCACATCCCCTGTGCATTGAGAGCGAGCTGCCTGTAACCACCATCAACATACACCCACTTACCCGAACT